AAAGATCATAATCGTATAAAGCTGGGAGTTTGCCAGCTGTCTAATAAGACATTGCCAAGGATCTTTATTAGTTAAAATGAATATTTAGACTTGGTGCCAAATTGAGAGATGACAGACTTACTTAGGGATGGCAGAGTAACATTAGGCAAATGTTTTTCCAATCTGCTAATGAGCTTTTGTAACTTTGAGTGGATTCCTAAGTGCACCTTTTAACAAACTGAAGCAGGAGTCATTATATAGCAGAAGCCACAGAGGCGGCAAAAAAATGTCTATGGTTAAAAGAACTTCGAAGCGGGAAAAGAATCGCCAGCTGAGCCCAGGTCAGAGATGCATCTTTGCTGTGGGATTGTGCTGCTTGCATGCAGAACAGAGACAGAGCATTTAACATGGGGGAAGAGCTACAATGCGACGGGTATTTTGGGCTTCCCCAAAAATACATTATATGGGTTGCAGCCAGTGTTAGCTCTACTCAGAGTAGACACACTACAATTAATGGACATAACCAACTGTAGCGCTGGGGTGAGTTATTTGCCTTTACCTTGCATTCTTTTAAATTGTTTTTTTAATTAAAAAAAATATTGGTTTTTACCCATATTTTCCAGCATATCATCCTTTTAAACATCATTTCAAAATCTTTGGTTATCACAGCCTAAGCCTTCCTTCAACCTCAACTGATGGTTTTATAAAATCCTTTCTAATTATGCATTTTGTTACTACAGTTATTGCTGTAAATTCAAATCTTAATACCTATTCTTAATTCTTTTCACAATAATTTATATATTACTCCTTACAAAACTTTTTAACCCTATAGGCGATGTCAATTGGTTACAGTTGCTTTCCAAATACATCGAAAGCTTCTTCCATTCCTTTAGGAAAGTCTGGTCCTGCTGGTTCTGAAATCTTTTAAATTGTTTTTAATTTTTATCTGTGTTGTTTTAAATGAGACCATCTTGGCTGTGAGTCCTGGAAGACCTGCACTCTGCCTTACTGGCCCTTTCCCATCTTAGTCTGGGAGACTGGAGTGCTGACTGACTCCAACTACAAAAGCTGAGGCTGTTGAACAGATTCCTGGGGTGGAGTATTGTTTACGGGGGCATTGAGAGAGCTGTTACTGTTATTGATATAACTATTGTATCTTTAGTTTTAGATCTTACGATTTGTGTGGAAATTGTTTCCATTAGGTTGTGTACTTTTTGACGTGTTTTATTGTTTATGACTTCTGTTATGTTTGTAATTATGTAGATCTTGTCATGTTGTAAGCCACCTTGAGCATAGTTTGATGATGATGATTCTATACTCCCAATTCTCATGGAAGCCTAGAACTGTAGAGCTGGAAGGACCATCTAGTCCAACCTCCTGCAATGCAGGAATCACAGCTAAAGTATCCCAGGCAGATGGCCAACCAAGCTCTGTTTAGAAGCCTCCAGTGAAGAAGAGAACTCCACCTTCTTAAGGAGTCTCTTCCACTGTTGAACAGCTCTTGCCACCAGAAAGTTCTTCCTAATGTTTAGTCGGAACCTCATTTTTTGTCATTTGAATCCGTTGCCCCACCCTATGGGGCAACTTAGGATCATAAAGTTCCGTGAATCTAGTCTAAGTAGAACATAATTCCTGTATATATGAGGGTGTGCACCTGTTCTGAGCAGTGCCGGATTTATGTATAAGCTAAACAAGCTATAGCTTAGGGTCCCACTCTCTTGGGGGCCCAAAAAAACTAAAGGGAAAAAACCCTGGATGTATGTTTCCAAAATATAAGATAAAAAAACAAAAAACCTACATACAGCAACAGTGTTTTGTGTTGTGTAGGTTCCTATGATGGAAGTAATGGGCCCCGCCTGCTAGCCTGCTCCCTAAAATATCACTGGTTTGCTCATTTCTATATATAGGGTACCTACATTCTGCATCTGCAAATGGCTTTAGATACCTATTAGGTCCATAAATTACCACATGGCATATATTCAATACGAAAAACAGCGACAAATTTCTTGTTGACAAAGGACAGCTGGACATATAAAGGGCCCCATTCCCTTCAGTAGCTTAGGGCCTCATCAGACTTAAATCCAGCCCTGGTTCTGAGAAAGGGCCGAATGGAAGAGCAGATTGGGGTCATTTGTAGGTCTTCTCCAGCTCCCAAATCAAAGCTCAATGTCAATAGCCAATCTCGAATTCTCTCTCTCTCTCTCTCTCTCTCTCACACACACACACACACACACACACACACATACACACACACACACGGGTCCCTAAAAAGCCTGGTGTCACTTTGTGGATTCTGCGATTATCTGTCCCACATAGTTCTATTTTTCCCCCTATGATAGCAATGCTTCTGAATACCAGTTGCTGGAAACCACAGGAGGGGAGAGGGCTCTTGGGCTCTGTTCCTGCTTTCTGGTTTCCACAGTCATCTGCTTGTCCACTGTGAGAACGGGATGCTGCACTAGATGGGCCACTGGTCTGATCCAGCAGGCTCTTTTTACTTTCTTATGGTTTTCATTCTGAGAAATTAAAAACCAGACATCAATTTACTTGGAGGCTTAGTAAGGGCAGTTGGTCAGGCGTCAAGGCACTGGTATTTTAGACACCTGTTCAGGGAACTTTTTAATGTTTGATGTTTTGTCGTGTTTTTAATATTCTGTTGGGAGCCGCCCAGAGTGGCTGGGGAGGCCCGGCCAGATAGGCGGGGTATAAGTAATAAAATATTATTATATTATTATTATTCACTGGCCTTGCAACACAGTATGGGGCAGGGGGTGTTGGAAGGGTGTAAAGATGCCATCCAGGGACAGTGTGAGGAGTAAATCTAGCATGCTTGTCCCAGCCCTCCTTTGTCAGGGATTTGGAAAGCCTGACTAGGACTAAGAACTCCTCACACACTGTACACATTTAATGGAGAAAGAATGATTATTAGAGCTGTTCAGTAAGGCAATTAATGTTATTCAGCTTTAAATATATTTGCATCTCTTGTATATGTGTTGGTGGGTTGTTTTCTGATTCTTTATTTAATCCTGCCAGACTTGTGGCGGAAAATTACGCAGGCATAACCAGTTTCCCAGTCTTCCAGGTGTCCTTTGAAGACAATATAAAAGTTTGTAAGATGGTGTTTTTTTCAGAGACTGCCAGGGCTCCAGCCTCAAACTCAAGAGTCCGAGAGAGAAAAGTCAGTCTAGGCAGGGGTCAGCAAACTTTTTCAGCAGGGGGCCGGTCCACTGTCCCTCAGACCTTGTGGAGGGCTGGACTATTTTTGGGGGGGGGGATGAACGAATTCCTATGCCCCACAAATAACCCAGAGATGCATTTTAAATAAAAGCACACATTCTACTCATGTAAAAACACGCTGATTCCCAGACCATCCAGGGGCTGGATTTAGAAGGCGATTGGGCCAGATCTGGCCCCCAGGCCTTAGTTTGCCTACCCATGGTCTAGGGCTGTTGAATCCCTTTCACTTCCTCCAGGAAAAAAAAGCCCCTGGACCTTTTTGTCTGAAATTTGTCAGGCTTAAGCCACTCTGGAGGAGCTCCTGTGCCTATCAATTTCATTTGCTTTGACCAGCTCATTTCAAGACTTTGAGAAGGCAGGACGACAGGCAAGGTGTCACATCCAAGACACAGAATTTTGTTGGTGGAGGAAGCAAAAAACAGAGGCAAGGAACTCAGACTGGTTCCTACTGACTGGAGAACTGTAACCAGCTGTTTCCTTCTGCAACAGCTTCTAAGCAAAGCAGTGGGAGGGCTAAGAAAAAAGCTTGAATGTTCAATGTTGCTCTTAACTCAACCCAATCCCCATGGACAATTGGGAGCCTTGGCTTGGTGTAGAAATGGCCAGTGCCAACCTCACATCCATCTCCAAGCATAAGAGATCCTAAAAAGGCAGAATTGTGTTTGTCACCAAGAGGAAATGCAGCTAAACTGTATCTCCCCCCCCCCCCCAAGCACACACACACCCTGCCCAATTGCTATTCATAATCTCAATGGCTCTTGGCTGTTTGAATAATGGAGGAAAGCAGCCTGCCATTTAACCAATTGAAGCTCCCCACAGGACGCCTTCCAAAATGAGATGGTCTGTTGAGACGAAAAGTAATGTTTGTCAATAAGTCAGTTGCCTCGATTCTGATCGCCTGCCTGAACTGATGCAATGCTAGCCTGGGGAAAGATTAGAGGAGAAGATGGGTGGGATCACATCCCATTGTCGGAATCAATATCCAAGCCAGCATCCTCTCCTGATAAATGGCGTCTCCAGCCTATCTGAGGCATTCTCGCAACAAAGAGTCAATTGTGGGCTTCTTGGCTCAACCTAGACCTCTATTATTATTATTATTCCAGCTGCAAAGATGGTATTAGGGATGGCAGATAGAATTCATTTGGTTCTCCTTTTTTTTTTTTTCCAGTGGATTGACCCGACAGAGACTCTCAAGCTTGCTTGTGTGAATTAGAATTCAACTCCTGCTCAGCTTACACAATCCTCTGGATTTTGTGGTGCAGTTCAAGTGTGCAAAATTTTAAAAAAAGAAAAAGTGCACACATAAAGTGGTGCTTTATGTGAAAAATGTGTCCAGAGTTTGTCTTTTACAGGTGGCATTGTTTTATTAGGGTCAGTGTGGTGTAGTGGTTAGAGTGTTGGACTAGGACCAAGGAGATTAAGGTTCAAATCCCCACATGGTCAGAAGATCACTGGGTGACCTTGGGCCAGTTATTTTCTCTCAGCCCAGTCTACCTCACAGGGTTGTTGTGGGGATAAAATGAGGAGTAATGAAACCACTCCTGAATGCCACCTTGAGCTTCTTGGAGGAAAAGGTGAGATATAAATGCAATACATAAAGAGTATTTACTACTGACCACTTTGAGGGTTTTTGTTTTTACAGTCAAGTGTCATATAAATTTTATGCATTAAATAATCCCATGTGGAAATGGGGTGAGCTGAACTGAGAGAAACTGAAACTGACAAATTTAGAATCATCGAATTGTAGAGTTAGAAGGGACCACAGGGGTCATCTAGTCCAATCTTTTGCCCAGTGTGGGGCTTGAACCCACAACCCTGAGATTAAGAGTCTCATGCTTTACCAACTGAGCTACCCAGCAGCTAGTGAGGGGACACCTTTGTGGTGAAGGAGATTCCCTAGACAATCCTATCTGAGCCTTGTCTAGAGTGGACACCCCAGGTCTTGGGGATTGTGAGAGGGGTCTGTGGATCAGGACGGCCTCTCTCATGCAGGAGGCAGTAAGTCAGAAAGAAGATGAGCTTCCATTACTCCAAATTGACCCAGGGCTAGACTCACCCATAAAGACTCAGGCAATGAGGATGTAACAAAGCTAGCTCCATCTCGATGGATTCCACACAGCTGTGAGTCTGCTAAGTTAAAATAAAGGTTTTGGGTCCAATCTTAAGTCATTTCTCTTATTTATTTTCAAAAAAACAACACACATTGCAGGACTCGGAAGCCAAATTGCCAATAACACCAGGGAAAAGAGCCGTGAAACTCTTCCCAACAAATATCACTCCTTGCCATCGGAAAGGCAGCACAAATATTCAAATATGCTCCAACTGTTTCTCTCCCTCCAGCAAAGCACACACAGATGTTGGTATCCTCTATGAGGAAGACACAACTGATCAACCAACTCCAGGCATATTGAACGGAAGCTGGGTAAGCAGTTTGGAACATACATTTCATGATGTTTTGTTTGAAGCTGAGAGGGGGAAAGTGTGATAGATTCCACTCCAACAGAAGACATGCTTTGCTGGACCAGACCAAAGGTCCATCTAGTCCAGTATTAGGTACTTACAGTGGACAACCAAATGCCTCTCCCTGGAGGTTTTCAAGCAGAGGTTGGATGGCCATCTGTCCTGCATGATTTAGGTGACATTCCTGCATGGCAGGGGATGCGGGGTCCCTTCCAACATTACAGTTCTAGGATTCTGAGACATGAGTGCAACAGCATGGTCCTGCTCACAAATCTGAGCAAATGGTATTATGTTTTTAAACCGAAAGGCAGTATATAGCCATCAAAATGTAGCCATTGATAGCCTTACCTTCCATGAGTTAATCTTGTTCCTTCCAAATTGGTAGTCATCATTACATATTGTGGGGACAAAGTCAATCCTTCAACTGTGTGCTGTGTTGTGAAATGCTTTCTTTTGTTTGTCCCAAAACTTCCAACCTTCAGCTTTAGGGGATAGTCCTGTTGTGTTCTACCATTTTCTACATACATTGCACTTATATTCCACAGTTATGGTTCTGTCCCCCATCCCTTAGTTATCTTCTTCCCAGACTAAATATGCTTGCAAAATTTGACCCCGATCAGTAAAAGAGGGAAATCCATGCAGCCTAAAAATATTACAATCTAGGAGGAGTTGCAACTTCAACCATGTGCCAGGTCATGAATGATTATCTGCAATCCAAGAGGTAAAATTGATTTACCTCTTAATGTAGGCATAGGCAAACTAGGCCCTCCAGATGTTTTGGGACTACAACTCCCATCATCCCTGACCACTGGTCCTGTTAGCTAGGGATCATGGGAGTTGTAGTCTCAAAACATCTGGAGGGCCAAGTTTGCCTATGCCTGTCTTAATGTCATCCACACTAGAGCCAGTGTGGTGTAGTGGTTAAGAGCAGTGGACTCGTAATCTGGTGAACCGGGTTCGCTTCCCCACTCCTCCACATGCAGCTGCTGGGTGACCTTGGGCTAGTCACACTTCTCTGAAGTCTCTCAGCCCCACTCACCTCACAGAGTGTTTGTTGTGGGGGAGGAAGGGAAAGGAGAATGTTAGCCGCTTTGAGACTCCTTCGGGTAGTGATAAAGCGGAATATCAAATACAAACTCTTCTTCTTCTTCTTCACACTAGAAGCGATCTTGAATGCAGAGGGTTGTAGTCAATTAGCCCTACTCAGAGTAGACCTGTTCACGACGATCCACGTCTGAGCTCAATACCTGCCATTGAAAGTGAAAAAGCAGATAACGGTGATAACTGGGATGAGGAAGAGGGTGCATATGGTGAGGAAGATGAAGAAATTGATAGTGATGAGAAGTATCGAATGAAAGAATGCATTGTGAAGAAGTTAAAGAAAGATGCTGATCTAACAGCTCAAAAACCAACTAAAGAGAAGAAAACAGAGAAGAAAAGTGAGCCACAGTGAGGACCTACAGAAGGAAGTGCGCCAGCTGAAACGTGAACTGTTAGCAGCAAAGCAAAAGAAAGAAGAAAATGCCTCCAAACTAGAGGAGAATAAAATTGAAGATGACAAAGCTGCTCCAAACAGCATTGTTGCAGAATATCTGGAAGAAGAAAAGAAATATGAACAACTGAAACAGCACAGCCAAAGAAAGGACTTTCACATGAAGTTCAGATGCTGGCATTGCTGGACAGATTCAAATCTACTGAAATGAATTGGCATGACTAGCTTATACCCATTTATTCCAATAGGCTTCCTGTAAGTAGGAGTTGGCTACAATCCATATTATTTATGCATTATTGCAGAGTATTATTAAATTTGCTTACTTATTCCAAAGGAGTTGTGGATTGGTTCCCCTTGGGAAGGGCAAGATCCTGGACAGATACATTGAGATCAGTGATCACGAATTCCCTTACATTGTTTGCCAGCTGTGCAGCATTTGGGCTCCACCCCTGGGAGACCCACGCTGGAAGATTGCATTTGCACCAAGAGAACTCTTTAAATGTCATGGCCCAGCCCAAGTGTGTTTAGATTAATATCTAATCACCTCAGTGGAAGTTACAGAAAGCAAGTAACCGCTGTAAAAATTAATGAGCAATTTAGACCTGCCTGCCCAGATGACAAGAAAATCTATATGTCAATTAAAAGATCTCCTCCCCTGGGGAAGCTGCAAAGCTCTTTGTGGAGGTTACTCCTGGCATAGAGAAAAGCCAAAAGAGGGGGCGGGGGGGGAGAAACCAGACGGGAAGAGAGATTTTATAAATGTTGTACTGGGTCAAGTCACACAGAATGAGTAAGTCCCAGGGATGATAAACATTTGGGTAGGCGCTGTAGAGATGGGGGGATTGTGGGGAGGGATGGGGGAGGGATTTGATGGGGGAGGGATTTGATGGGGAGGGATTTTTACTGTATTTGTGGTTTTTATGGAAGCCGCCCAGAGTGGCTGGGGAGGCCCAGCCAGATGGGCAGGGTATAAATAATAAATTATTATTATTATTTGACTCAGTTTGCATTTAAAGGCGAAGCTTCCTAAGTCACACTCTCCAAAGCATTATGTGAAATGAAACGCAGCCATCCTTTGAAATTTCCACTTCTCTGAAGTTTGCAACGCAGTTCTCCAGCGAAGGAATGTGTACAGATGTGCATATAAGTGTGCATAGAAATACATGTATTAGTGAAAATGACATACAAACATGCATTATATTGAGGGGAGTCGCTTTGCAAAAATGTGCATTTATCTTGGCCTTTGGCACCTGAGATGTGCGCTTTCAAGGACCCACCCTATTCTTGTGAATGTAAAGGTATTAACTGTTTTTCATCCTGAATTTTAATTTGCTGTAGACCTGGGACCTGCTGGCAAAGAATAGGTAATAATAATAATAATAATAATAATAATAATAATAATAATAACAACAATAACAACAACAACAACAACAACAACAAAATTGCATGCAAACATGTATATATTTTAGGAGAAATGCACACTAAATTTCTGGCGAACTTTCACAATTGCAAACTGATTTCTGATGGTAAGAGCTGTTTGGCAGTGCAGTGCACTCCCCTCGGAAAGTTAGAATCATAGAAATGCAAAGTTGAAAGGGACCCCAAGGGTCATCTAGTTCAACCCCCTGCAATGCAGGAATCTTTTGCCCCACCTGGGGCTCAAACCCACGACCCTGAGGTTAAGAGTCTTATACTCTACCAGCTGAGCCATCCCAGAGATGGACTCTCCTTCCTTGGAGGCAGGGGTTGGATGGCAATCTGTCATGGATTTAGCTGAGATCCCTGCATCACAGTGGGTTGGACTAGATGACCCTTGGGGTCCCTTCCAACTCTATATGATTCTGTGATATGGAAATATGGAGAACTGAACATAAAATAGGAAAAACAGGAAGCTGGGGAGACCTGAAACTGACTGATTCACCCATCCCTACTCCTAAGGAAGGGTGGAAAGAGCTGCAACCTTAATAATGTTTTTCATAAGGAAATGTAATAACATATATGCTCCTTTATAATTAAGGGTTCTGCATTTTGCCTGGAAAAAATGTGTGCATTTGTATATTAGCAAAAATTCACACTGAAATGTCTGGAAGTACGTCCCACTGAATTCAACAAGCCTTACTTCTGAGTAGATATGGTTAGCATTGTGCTGTTAAGGTTGGGAGTGGTTGGCCTGGTGGCTGGCCTAGTGGTTAGAGTGTTGGACTAGGACCCAGGAGACCAGGGTTCAAATCCCCACATGGTCAGAAGATCACTGGGTGACCTTGGGCTGGTCATTGCCTCTCAACCTAACCTACCTCACAATGTTGTTGTGGAGATTTATTAAGGAAGGGAGGAACCATGTATGCCATATTGAGCTCCTTGGATTGAAAAAAAAAGGCAGGATATAAATGAAATAAACGGAAATAAAATAAATGATTTGATGGTGGGGACTTCTTTTTGCAACGCTATTTGGTACCATGGTTGCCCTGTTGCTCTGGCACAACTCACTCAACCTTCTGTTTCTTTAGCTGCTTTGGTGATCCCAACCTATCAGGGATGCTGAAGTGTCTTCAACAGCATCCCTAAGCTGCATAGCCAACATGACGCCATCATCAAGGGCAAATAAAGTCATTTGAGAGAGAAAGGAAGAGTGGTGCAAACAATCAGGGGAAAACATTTCAGTGTGGGTTGAGTGTTAGCATCCAGGCAATTCAAACAGTACTGTCGCTTGTCCATGAGATCTTTTAAAACCTATAACAAAAGATAATTTTGTTTCTGGGTAGGCTAAAAAGAAGACGGCAACAACTCAATACATCAAATGGCGGTGGGCTTTTTTTCCCCTCCCCTCTTTGCAAAACTGCTGCAATAATCAAGAAAAGCCACAAAATCAAAAGGCACAAAGCAGACTCGACGTGCAAGCCAGCCTTTTGTGTTCCCGGCCATTGTTTCTCTAAAAGAGACAAAAATTTCCTGCTCTAATAGCCTGCAAGCCAATTGCCCACGTAGGATGTTATACAATAATAAATTAAGAGCTTGGGGTTGCATTGTCTTGTTTCTGCTCTATGGGGACACTGAGGGCTATGCCCTTGGTGGAATATTATGCAGGGAAGGCAATCGCTCTCCCTTGGCCTTCGCAGAACCGGAGCAGACGCCAGAAATCAAAACCAGCTCAAGTTTGTGTGGTTGAAACAGAAGAGGTTTTGTTCTGAACCCTGATAGGGGCAGGGGGAAAGTATGCTATTATCATTTGTTTCTTTGTTGCATTTATACCTCACCTGTCCCCCCCAAGGAGCACAATGTGACATTGCATGGTTCTCCCCTTCCTCAGTGTGCCTGCCCCAGGGTCACGTTCAGTGGGGTTCCTAGCCAAATAGAGAATTTGAACCCCCGTCTCTACCATGACCTACTCCCCATTTATTCCCCGCAACAGCCCTGTGTGGGAGAATGAAGCTGAGAAGCAATGACTGCCCCCAATTTCACCCAGTGAGCTTCTTATGGCCAAGTGGGGATTTGAACCCTGGCCCCTCCCAGGTCCTAGTCCTACTCTCTAACAACTACACCATACCAGCTTTTGAGCATGAGCAAGATCCTGTGGGGAGAGTAGGGCTGCATACAGTGGTACCTCGGGTTAAGAACTTAATTCGTTCTGGAGACCCGTTCTTAACCTGAAACGGTTCTTAACCTGAGGTACCACTGTAGCTAAGGGGCCTCCCGCTGCCGCCACACAATTTCTGTTCTCATCCTGAAGCATCCTGAAGCAAAGTTCTTAACCCAAGGTACTATTTCTGCGTTAGCGGAGTCTGTAACCTAAAGCGTCTGTAACCTGAAGCGTCTGTAACCCGAGGTACCACTATACTTGCAGGAACTTCTGGTGCTACCTGGAGACTTGTCACATGACCCTGGCAGAGAAAGTTAACCCACCCACAGTCAGATGGGCTGCATTAAAGAGGGTCACCACGTTGAGGCAGAGGCTAAACCTAATCTTTGCCCCCTCGCCATCCCAGCCCTTAAGAATCAAATATGCTTCTGTCCATAGCAGCAGCGGAGCAAGCCGATTGGGCACCTGGGGTGGTGCACGTGCCCTGTGCCCAGGGATGGGGCCAGCTACCTGTGGGACAGGGCGAGCTGGGGCAGGACGCTCCATGGGGCCTCCAAGGAGTCTGCCTGCCTCCTCCCACTCAGCTGCCCTACAGCTAGGGGGAAGGCAGGGTCGGACCATTTGGAGGAGCGCGGAGCCTGCGGGTGCCCAAGCCACCATGTCACTTCCAGTGAGTGCTGCCCAGCATTTTGTCACCCCCCTCAGTGGTGAGACCCGGGGCAGCCCACCCCCACTGCACCCCCCTTCCTCCACCCCTGGTCCATAGAGACCTATTGCAGGCTCAGTATCTTGGCTGCATTAAAACAGGGAGAAGGCAACCTTCAGACCTTGGCATATGGGTTGGTGAGTTGGAGGCTGGAGAGGGAAGAGGGTGAGAATGGAGAAATCTAGGAGAGGCAGAGTCAAAATGAAGGGAGAGATGGAAGGAGGCAACCCAACTCCATCAACACGGCACAGCCTCTTTCCGGAGAGTCACTGTGCTCGCCTTCAATGCACAGAGGGGAAATTTAGTGCCCTCTCTCTTTAATTCAAGGCCTATAAAGTCAGGAAATACCACGGCGATAAACTTCCTTTTACGCAGTGTCTCCCGTTGCAAGCCGCGTCATGGAGCGCTTTATGGAACTCAGCATCCTAATGTGCCATATGATGTGTCTGGTAGAGAAAATAGCCACTAAAGAAAGAGAGAGGTTGTGAAGGAAAAGAACTGCAATTACCAGGAGGGTGAAAGATGGAGGTCTTTAAAACGTCGGCAAACGCAGAGAAAATCCGTGAGGTCATAAAAGGGGTGGTGCTGGCTAGCAAGGAGCACAGGCTGCCATGGAACAGAACAGAAGAATATAAGGAGAGCCTGGCTGGATCAGGCCAATGGTCTATCTAGACCAGCATCCTGTTCCCACAGTGACCGGCCAAATGCTTGTGGGAAGGCCGTAAGCAGGACCCAATCACAAGAGCACTCTCCCCTCCCACAGTTTCCAGCAATGGGTATTCAAAGGCATACCATGCAGACAGAGTGTAGTTATCATGACTAGTAGCCAGTTTCCACCCCTCGGTTCTAATCCCATCCACTTTGGGCAACAGAGGACAAGCCCCCTCTGTGTACTGCATGGCAGAGCTATGAAGGCAAGTGATGTAGCATGGCTTGCCAGTGCCCAGGGCTGCACGGAGGGGTGGGTGGGTGTGAGGGAAGCTGACAGAGCACACTTGTGCATTCAACTGCCTAATGGCATCCACATCACCCAGGAAATTGCAGCTGCGG